GGAGCAGAGAGGGGGTGGGTCATGAGGTTTTGAGCCTTGTGCAAGGGGTGGGTCGTGCAATTTTCAGCTACCCTTAGGGGGTGGGTCACCCTATTTTTTACTAACTACTAACGAGACAGTTGACTACACTTGTTATATAAAACACAGCCAACTGGGATTATTGCTAAAATACTCACAAACCTGTTGTGCGAGAAAATACAAAGGTTGACAGGCCGCACATCTATACGGGCGCGGAACCCTCTGTTAACCTTTTTTTTTTTCAGCTCTAACGAGCATGTCCTTTAACGATTTCCTTTTTTATAAGGAAATGATTGGTGGTTCTTTAAAATTTATTGAATTTATAGTTGGTTTTGTATAAGATTCCATTTTTTCATTCAAGCTTCCTTTATTGTAGACACTAAGGGCTGGTATTGTGTCACGAATGGCAATTTTTCTTTTTTCTCCTTGTTGTTTTGTTTTAGGAGTTTAGACTCCCTTATGTGAATTTTATTTCTGATAGTAGGTTTTCTATCAAACATAGGGGCACCCAACGAGAATATAGTTCAAAACCAATTTAAACAGTAGATATAGGCATACTTTTATCCCCTAAAAATTTTCCATCTGTTTGGATCTCCTAGCTGAAAGTCTAGTGATACGTAAATTATAGGGATCAAAACTTACTTTTTCGAAAATTTCAGCCACAAAAAAGGCTCCCGAAAATTCTAAGTGACCTGTTTAGGGTAAAAATCCGTTAAAAATGAGCAATTATACCGTTTTTTTAGATGTTCGAAAATCCTAGGAGGGGCAGACAAGCAAGAAGTTTTACAACAAATGTTCCGAAAATTCTAGATCTCAAATCGTCTTTCGAACAGGGTAGCCTCCGTCCGTCAAGCGTTTTTTTTGTAAATTTGAATTATTTTCCTCAAAGGTTGTTTCTGAGGAGTTTTCTCGTAGGATTCATAAGGCTTCTCCTTTGACAAATTCTTTTTTTAACATTTGGAGGGTGACACGAGGTGAAATGTGTGTGCAAGAAGGTTTCCGTTTGATTAAAATGTGTCTTTGTATCAAAGATAGATTTTTCCTTGAATCTTGTGCCTTTGTTTACAACCGTGTCTAGAAACGCAGTCTCAGTGTCAAATGTTTCGGCCGTGAATTCAATAGTTGCGTGATGTAAGCTTGCTTGTTCAATGAAGGCTTCGATGTCTGGTTTAATCATGTCCCATAGGGAAAAGATATCGTGTATGTGGCATTTCCAAACTGTTGTTCTAACGACAGTTTTGCATAGAGTCGTTGTTTCAATATAATTATGTCATGAAAACATTGGCAAAGGAATCAAAACTGCTGTCTTTGTGCCATTGCAGTTCCATGGTTTTGTTGATAGTGCTTTCCACTGAAGTGGAAGAAATTTTCTTTGAGGATTAATCTAAGCATTTCCGGCAAGTTATGTGTAGGAATGGGTTGTCTTTGTTGAAATTTTCATATGCTTTGTGACAGATAATTTTAATATACCCTCGTTTTGCTGTATATTTGTCAAGACTCATAACGTCCATTGAAACAAGAAATGTTCGGTTTTTCACATTCGTCCTTTCAGTGAAAGGTATGATTTCTGTGATTTTGATATTGGTTGTAGCAGTGTATCAACAAATTTTGTCAAGCACAGAACAAGGTTTTATTGGATTATTAAGAGGAAACCGAACATCCATGTTTTAACTAGGGGGTGGGTCATGCAATTTCCAACTTTGCTTTAGGGGTGGGTCAATCATTTTTGTGCCGAAGGGAGGGTGTGGATCATGGGTTTTTTTACCAACCACCGTTCCAACCACCTTTCCAAACGCTCCGGCCCACCCCCCCCCCCCCCCCCCCCCCCCCCCCCCCCCCCCCCCCCCCCATACTTTTTGACCAGTCCCTTAATGCTTTCATTTGTTATCTATTATTCGAATTCAATTTAACCGGCCGTAAGACTCGAAATTTGAATATGAGTCTTTAAAAAAGCCTACATACTGTGCGGATTTGATCCCGTTCGACTGAATTAACTTAATCATGCCGACTGAGAAAATTTTTGCTACGAAATCGGTTTATGTTGTCGATTCTTTCATCCTTGTTTGACACACACAAAGAAAGATATGATTTGTCTACCAAGACACATTTAACCCTCGGAAGGATGGTTATGAGATTCTTTTTGAAAATGAAAAAGTCATCTCAATAAAGATTATTATTATGATGATGACATGCAAGGGGGGTGGTTACCACTACCCCTCTGAGGTTTTTTTCCAAGAAGATAAACCGTCAGCACCTGACGTTTTCAATAGCTGTTGGTTTATCTTTCGCACGCATTTTGGACGCGACCATGTTTGGTGGCGTCACAGATCTCCAGCAGCGCCACCACCCATAAAATATACCTCATCTTGTAGAGAAGATCAAAGCAGAATTGTTTCGAAATGCTGCAAAAAATCAAGGGTTAGGGGTTTCCATCACCCCCACCCCCTTGTTCCACGCTGGGGGTATGACTGCGTGTACGTTTGAGGGTTAAATTTAAGTCTTCCTTTAAACTGAAGAAAGCTTCATTCTTGAAGCTAAATCGCAATGTTGGTAAGGTTTGTTTTTGTTTTGCATACTTCGATCGCGCAGTTCATCAACAAACTAAAAAAGCTTTCTTTAATACACAACTTGGGGGCTTTAGTAAAATTTTCTGACAATTTTAAGAGTAGGAAAAAATTAAATGCGAATGTCTAAACTCTTAATTCAAAACTGGTAGATTCGTATGTGAAAATAGCCCTTTTAAAAAGGCTTTACACAGTTTGATCTCGGGCAATTGAATTAATTGATCATCATTGCCGAAGAAAAAGTTTGCTTATTCTATTATCCTTGTATGACACCAAACCAGCTCATAATTTGTCTACCAAGACACATATACTTACAAGTTTAAAAAATGATGTGGAGGTTGGTTTTAGTTTTTGTAATCAGTCG